CCCCAAAACCCCAAAACCCCAAAACCCCAAAACCCCATTTCGGATATTTTAGGGTGAAAACAATGACGTAAATAATTTATTTTCTGAAATGGAATCCCAGAAACCAAAGAAAGTAGTCGCAAGAGGATTAATTGGAGTCATTGCTGATGATTCAGAGATCTCAACAGTGGGAATTGGCAAAGGACTCAATTATAGAGGGTATAATATTGAAGACCTTGCTCATGGGTGCATTTTTGAAGAAGTCTTATATCTTCTACTGTTTAAGGAACTACCCACAAGAGATCAACTGAAAGACTTCCAGGAGAAAATTGCTGAAAACAGATATATCCCTGCAAAGCTTGCTGAAGTGATTGAATTAGTTCCTAAAGATTCACATCCCATGGATCTGATGAGAACAGTGGCATCTTTTCTCGGAACCATTGAGCCAGAAACTGAGGAGAATGATCAATTCACTATTTCCATTAGACTTTCTGCTATCTTTGGCCCATGTCTTTTCTACTGGTATCATTTTCATAAGAGTGGGAAAAGAATCGAAGTAGATACTCACAAGTCTGACACAATTGCCAAGAATATTGTGAGACTTCTCAAAAACGATGGAAAAGAGCCAGATGAGTTGTTGGTGAAAACTATGGAGGTTTCCCTCATTCTCTACGCTGAGCATGACTTCAATGCTAGTGCCTACAATGCTAGAGTCACAGCCTCTACACTTTCTGATTTCTACTCAGGAATTACATCAGCAATTGGAACTTTAAGAGGTCCTCTTCATGGAGGAGCCAATGAAGCTGCCATTAGGTTCATTAAGCAGTTTAAAACTAAAGAAGAAGCTGAAGCAAAGCTCTATGAAATGTACAAGGAAAAGAAATTGGTGATGGGATTCGGACACAGAATCTATAAAAATGGAGATCCAAGATCTGATATCATCAAGGGTTACTCGAAGAAGCTCACTGAGACTGAGCATGGAAGACCAGATTTATTTGAAATTTCGGAGCGTATTGAGAATATTATGATGTCAGAGAAGAAAATGCACCCAAATCTTGATTTCTATAGCGCGTCAGCATACTATCAACTTGGCCTTCCTGTGGACTTCTTTACCCCAATTTTTGTTGTCTCCAGAACATCTGGATGGGCTGCTCACATAATTGAACAGAGATCTAAGAACAAGTTGATCAGACCTGCTTCTAACTACATCGGTCCTGAGCCAAAAGAGTTCACTGTACTTGACATGAGAAGTAAAATATAAGTAGAGTTCAGTTCTAGATTCAATCTTGATTACCCTTCAGGGGTTTTGGGGTTTTGGGGTTTTGGGGTTTTGGGGTTTTGGGG